GACACAAATGTTTCTTCTGTTATTGTGTTTGTTTCTGTTCTTGACCAACCTTTCTCGACAGAAAGGTTGAAAACAGTCAAAAAAAACCACCATCACATAACATAGCCATGCCATATTCAAATAATGAAATATTAATGCTGAGGATCGTAGGAATAATAAGAAGACTAGTAATGAGAATAAGAATAATGAATAATAATAATAACATTATAATATATATATTTTTAACTTTTTTTAAATCTTCATATAAAAACAGTGATGAGAGGAAGTTAATACACAGTAGGGCTCTACCACCCCATCGGTTGATTTGGCACATTAGACACACTCTCATATGAGCTACCTACTTGATCTCAGCACAGGTAGATATTACTGCTGATTGGTCGCCCATCCTGAACCATTTTATTTGATGTTTTAAATCTTCCAAATTTTGTCCACATACACTCATCAGGGTCATATTATTTGTTGGCCTTTTTTAATAGTTAAGTTTTAAAAAAAGAGTAATGGGGTTTAAATGTTTGAAGTTTGGTGAATTTTCTGGAGGCTTAGGTATATGGTATAAAAGTATCATCGGAAAATCACAACCTTAAAGCAGGATCTTTTTAATAACCTCAAATTCCTATATTTTGCTTTAATTATGAAATATGTTTTTTATTGGTCTGGCTAAAATTTTAGGCAATGTTTTCAATGAATAACAGTTCAAATGTGTAAAATCAACAGACACAGATACCAGTTTAAGACTGGGGATGGTGAACTCAGAGAAAACATCCCCATATTGCATCCTCTCGCCATCCTCATCAGCACAGTGTCTATGTCACTTTCAACAACACAGTGTCTATCACTTGCATTTACTAAGGGGCACCATTTTTTTGGCACCTAAGATTGTTCTAACACATTAGCAGTGTTTTAAAGAGGGCTCAGCAGAGACTATAAATCTATAATCTCAGACTTTATCTCTCCTCAAAGAAGCAGATATCTAGCTGTTGCGCCATCATTCTGATGGAGTCTTGGCTGCATCCAACAATACCGGACAATGCTAGAGGCCATGAAGGCTCTGAGCTTCAATCTGCACACACAGAGGGTGTTTTCATCATTGCTGGGGATTTTAATCAGGATGATTTGAAGACTGCTCCCTCATATTTACCAACATGTGGACCTTGCAACTCGGGGTAAAAACACTTTAGACCTGATTTACTCTAACATCAAAGATGCATTCAGAGCAGCCCCCCATGCCCACCTCGGGTCATTAGATCATCTTTCAGTTATGCTAATCCCCGCATGTAAGCCCCAGCTGATCAGGGCTGAACCGACAGTTAAAGAGGTCCAAGTGTGGTCTGAGGGCGCCATGGAGAAACTCTGACTCAAACATCTTTAAGGCTGCAGCAACCTATGAGAACGTATTAAATATAGATAAATATGCCATGAATGTGTCTCCCTACATTAACAGATGCATTGAAGATGTCAGCATCAAAAAGAACATCACCACCCGGGCCAACCAACGACCCTGGATGAATGGAGAGGTTTGGAAATCGATAAAAGAGCAGAACTCAGCCTTCAAGTCTGGTGATAAAGATGCACTGAGAACAGCATGTGCCAACTTAAACTGTGCCATCAGATCAGCGAAGCAGAGCCCCAGCCAGAAGATCTAGGATCTTTTCCTCTACGCCAGCAACACCAGGAGGATGTGGAAAGGCATTTGGGTAATCACAGACTACAACACACCCTCCCCCCGGTAGATGGAGCAAACACTTACTTTCTAAATGAACTGAACAACTTCTTTGGTAGGTTTGAGGCACTAAACAGCACTCCAGCAGTGAAAGCCGTTCCACACCAGTGGGAGGAGACACTAAACCTTGACGTAGTTGAAGTGAGGAAAACTCTGAGGAAGGTCAAACCCAAGGAAGGCCCCAGGCCCTGATAACTGGGAGAGTGTACAAGGTGTGTGCTGACCAGCTGACTGGTGTCCTCACAGACATTTTTAACCCCTCGCTGGACCAATCTGTAGTGCCAGCATGCTTTAAGTCTGCCACCATCATTCCTTTTCCAAAGAAGCCTCAGGTCAGCTCATTCAATGATTACCGGCCTGTCGCACTAACTCCCATCATGATGAAGTGCTTCAAAAGGCTGGTTAAAAAACACATCGTCTCCATTCTGCCGCCATCATTCGACCCGCTCCAGTGGACGCCACAGAGGACGCCATCTGCTCTGCTCTTCAACTGAGCCTGGAGGAGAAGAACGCTCACGTGCGGATGCTGTTCCTGGACTTCAGTTCAGCTTTCAACACCATCATCCCACAGCATCTGACAGGAAATGTGGAACAGCTGGGCTTCAATACAGCTCTCTGTAATTGGCTGCTAGACTTCCTCACAGACAGACCTCAATCAGCCTGGGTCAGACAAAACGACCAGTGTAGGTATCAGATCTGCTCAGGTGGTCAGATCTGCTCGGAGCCCCACGCCTCCCGATGACATCATAATATGGCAGCTCCACTCAAACAAACTACATTGTGCCTGTGGTCTGTATTTGTAACAAATCTATTTTATTTAGGTAATTTACATTGCAAGTTAATGTATTATAGATATTTGGTCAAATACTGAAAGTGCAAAACCACTGTAAATTAACAAATTTAAAATTATTCGTTACAAAAACAGACTGTAGTTTGTTTGAGTGGAGTTGCCATAAAGTGACGTCATCGGGGGGCAAATTCCTTAGAAAAAAATGGTCAGTTTACAAATTGCAATCCCGCTCTCAAAGAAAACCTACAATCCTGTTATATTTACGTTAGTAAGTTGTCTGGACCAATCACAATGTTTTGTATAGTGATGCAAGCGTTAATCAAACGTTATCATGTATAGTGACGTCATCGGGAGGTGCAGGGCCCCGAGCAGATCTGGTACCTACACTGGACCTACAGAGATGAGGTGGAGCAGCTGGTGAACTGGTGCAGATACAATAACCTGATCCTGAATGTGGAGAAGACGAAGGAGATCATCATTGACTTCAGGAAGAAGTCAACCGGCCTAACCATGCGCCACTTCTCATCAACAACTCAGCTGTAGAGGTGGTCAGCAGCACACATTTCTGGGGGTGCCCATCACAGACAACCTCACCTGGACTGTAAACATCACCTCACTGGTCAAAAGGGCACTGAAGCGCTTCTACTGTACTTCCTGTGGAGGATGAGGAAAACCCGCCTGCCACCACCCATTCTCACCTCCTTCTACAGAAGCACCATAGAGAGCATTCTGAGCAGCTGTCTCACTGTGTGGTGTGGAGGCTGCAGGGCGTCAGACTGTACGGAGGGGAGGAGAGTAGTGAGAACCGCACAGAGGATCATCAGGGCTCCTTTTCCATCCATTAAAGACATTTCATTCCAGCGCTACGTGTCCCGAGCCCGTAACATTATAAATGACCCCTCACATCCCCACCATGGACTGTTCTCCCTGCTGCCTTCTGGGAAGAGACCTAGAAGCATCCAGTGCAGCTCCAGCAAATTCCAGAACAGCTTCTTCCCCACTGCCATTAGAATGCTAAATGTTGTATAAAATGGGGTTTTAAAAAAAAAGCGCAGAATGTTGAAAACTGTAAATCATATACCACTCTTATGTTTGCATTTTATCACTGCTTCTTACATTTTTTATCAGTGCTGCACTTTAAAAATGGAAATGTCTTGAGAGCTGTACTAAACAAAATTTATTTTTGTATACACTCTGTGTACAAAATGACAATAAAGTCTGTCTAAGTCTAGGTAACCAAGTTGGATTCCTTGTTTTTAGACACAATCTTGGGGAATAAAGCAGATTCTGCTCCAAAGACCTCAGCAAGAAATTCAAAATTAGGCTGTTAAATATTATATTTTTTTGCAAATAGCTGGGCTTTTTGCATTCTTATAAACCTTTTTTTTTTTTTACCTATTTTGTGTTTCCTATATTGTTATGTTCCAAGTCTGGTTCTTTACCTCTGTAAATTAGCCTGTCTTGAACTTAGATTAATGCTTTAGGTTATTTGGTAAGATGGCAAAAGATTCAGCTATATTGACTCTCTGACAGGATTTTTTTTTTTTTTTTGAAAAGTTCACTATTGCTTAAAAAATACTAGCATGACAGGATTACTGCCCTAAAGCATAAATTAGAATTAAGGGATTTTGATGGAAACTAGGGTTGTAATACAAAAGTACCTATTTAAAGTGACTAAAAAGAGTTGTACAATATATCATGGGAAATAACCATTGGAAAATCAATGTGTTCAACATTGATATTGCAAAGCTAAGCTGAAAATAAATAGCTTTTTGTCTGAGTTTCATACGTTCACAGCTAGTGTCCTTTTAGGTCATTATGGAATCCAACACAGGTCATAGGGTGGTAACGGTTACAAAGAAGCATGGTTGTAATAAAGGCAAGTGAGGACACTGTGGATATTGTTGCAAGTGATATTGTCATAGACATTTTCACAGCTAATGAAACTACTGTAGTCATCTTACTACTATTGTGCAGCTGCTATATCTACCATTTCCTACAAGAAGTGCGGTCAAACATCAAATTAGAATTACTCTTGAAATTGGTAGATACCCCTTGTACAGGGGTATTATGTCAATGGATTGTTACATTTTGAGTATTTTAACCCATTTGTTGATTTTCATTACTGTCTGGATCAGAAAAAAATGCACTAAACATGTCAACTTATGTGCTGTATAATAATCCCTCCCAGCAAAATTAAATTCTAACTACATAATTAAAAGCCAAAGATTACTATGACTTTTACTCCCCTGATGAGTGTTTGAAAACTGCAGAATGGTACTGTACATAATTTTTTTTACTGCCTCTTTATCTGGTGTATCACACTCCATAATGCAGCTTCAACTTTCCCATGAAAGCAATACATAAGGCTCTGTTAGTGAAGTTTTAGTCTGCTTTTAGAAACTTAAGGAAGATCCAAAGCATCATTGGTTGTTCAAGACGGGTTTTCCAACAACATTTAGGGAGTTTCTATTCTTAACGTCAATAATTTCCATTACATTACAAAAAGTATCTCAGTTTCAATAATATATTCATATTTTTGTTCAATATAATACGTATATTAGTTTGGTCCTCATCCGTTTTGGGAGGAAAAGGCTTAGTTTGTGTAAACTATGTGTGTTGTGTCTGTGTGTATAAACATGTATGTGCAAAGTACATTTTTGTAAATGCCATAAGCTGTTTGAGTATATTTACATGTCTGATGATAATGTCCACATATCAGTGTGTTGTAATTGCAGTCTTTTTTTAGGTACAATGTGTTTGGCAACTTCACATATGGGATTAAGCCTTCTGTTGGGCAGACACACCCTTCCAATAGTCCAGTATGTCATGAAGATCTTCATCCTTGGCAAACTGAACCTTCCGCCTCAGAGCGTGCCCGGCTGCCACGTATCCTTCATCTTCTAAGGATGCCTGCCGATGCCTCTTACGGTGCATTTTGAACCTCTCCCAAAGCCCTAGAGTTGGGGTACATAGGAGCCCTTCCTCCTCCTCATCTTCCTCAGGACTTGAGCAATAACTGAGGTTGTGGTATTGGGGTGAGAGTGGGTAATGCTGCGACAGCTGGGAGTAGGTTAACTCACGCTGCTTAGCCTGCCTATTTAGAGTAATGGGATCCAACACAGAAGGTTTGCGACCTCCTGGGTGGTGGTGAAGCTCCTGCAGGATCTGTGGATGGTGCTGAAGTTCTTGGAGATGCTGTTGAGATCCTGGATAGGAGTGGCGGTGTTCATTGTACTGACGGATTCTCTGGGCTTCAGCACGCAATATAGCTGCAGCTGGGTTGACTGTACGGATGGCATCTCCTCCCCTTTCTCCTGGTGAGGCTCTTTCAATGTAACGGGACTCTGATGAGTGGTACCCTCCCTCTGAGCGGAAAGAGCGAGGGCTCCGTGCAGAACCAGGAGAGGAGGAGGTACTTGGCCGTTTGGTTGTTGGAGGAGTTTCCATGCTGTGGTGTCGTTGCAAAGAGGGGTGATAACTTCTTGACCGGTCCTCTCTTCCGCCTCTTCCTCCCTTGTAGACAGGAGAGAGGAACTCACCTCCCCTCTCTCCCTGCTCAGATAAAAGCACCAACTGTGGCTCTTCAGTTGAAACAGCACCTCCACCTGCAGTCGGAGACTTTATTCCCTGCTGAAAGGATGTAGACTCAGATTTGAGAGCATCTATACAGTTGTTAATTATCTGGTTGACTTTGTCAACTTCTTTAGCAATGGTGGAGATCTCAGCTACAGAGCCCTGGGGATTTGCTTGCGGTGACATCTCCCTTTCTCTTTCTCGTTCTCTTTCTCTTTCCCTTTCCTTTTCGATGCCAGAGCCTCTGACCTCCATGTAGTTCAGCTTGGCAGACTTGTGTCCTGGAGTTTCTATCACTTCCTGAAGCTTGTACGGATCAATCTCGCCTCCCTGGGGCAGGTAGGGCATTCTGGACAGACTTTCCCCTGCAGCAAGCTTTTGTGAGACAGATCCTCCACCACCTCCTTCTATATCCCCTTCCCCACCATATTTGAGTTCTATCAAAGTCCTCTGGATTCTACTCATCTTTCTCTCCTTCTCCTCCATGATCCTCTTTTTCCTCAGGCAGTGTACGACAAAGCCAAGAATGAGTAGCATACCAAACAGACAACCCAAAATTGTCATGATGTAATGAGTCGCAGATGACTGATTTCGTATTCTCTCAGCCCCAGCTTTTCGACCAGTAGAGATGGTTAAACAAGTGTGGTTGAACCTTAAGGAGTTCCGTATAGAAGCCACACAGTATGTGTAGTCTGTGTTAGGTTTCAAATTCTTCAGCTCTATATCCTCACTGTTTTTGTTCAGATGTTGGATATCAGTAAAGAAGCTGTTGTTATATAGCATCAGGATGAACATTTTCTTAAACGGATGAGGAAGCTGAACCGTTATGACTGCACTTGAATGTTGAACTTGTTTTATTGTTATGATTGGGTTGGAATCTGGGAAAATGGGACCAAGGCTTATCACGTCATCGGGAGCGGTCCCGGAGGCACAATCATCCAGTCCACACGGGGAGGCAAAGTCTGGCAGCTGAGTGGTGGAGTCATAGATGTAGAAGGGTGTCACGCTACTGCCATCGTCTGTGCATACAAGATTAAGCACATGCAGGGCGTTTCGTTGAGCTGGCATACGAGGGTTCTGGCTAAGTAGGTTGTAGCCAGAGAATCCTTGAGGGGAGTCACACACCATCCGTTCACTGGTTCTGTTTGGGAACACAGCAAGCCAGCGCAGGAAACCTAGAAGCTCGCACGAGCAGTTGAAGGGGTTGGTGTAGAGTTCACAGGTCGTTAGCTTAGAGAGTGCAGAGAACAAATTTCCATCCAGAACTTGGATCCTAGAGTTGGAAATACAGATATAAAAATTTAAGTTCAATATCAATTATAGATGCACTTATGCAGTTAAACTTAATTACTTTAGAGCTCTTGAAATCTCTCCTCAAAATGTACCTAAAATCATTTCACATGTTCTAAAGAACCATTTATTTTTGTATTGTCTTATCTGATGTCCTTAATCAACATTACGTTCTATTAGACAGTTCTTAGATCTGATTTGAACAGGAATTATAGGAATTATAGTATAGGGTCCTTGCATTAAAGGTTAGTTATACTGAGCATCATATTTGTCTGCAGTCCCTTAAGAGTCACATTTAATGAGAATAATCCTGCAAAATGAAACATGATAATCAGATATAGGCAGTGTAACAATCCGATCAGATATGAGCCAAACATAAAAAAGCAGCAAAAAGATTTCTAAGAAAAAAAATTTAGTTGCATAAGTTCTCTGAAAGTTTTTTTTTTCTGTAGTTTCAAAGCATGTGTTTAACATGCAAGCCAACAAACCTCAGACCAACCTACTATTCAATTTGAATAAAATTGAATACTAGGTTGAATAAAATATTCAGTTTTCAGTTTTCAACTTTTGTAAAGTTTTCTAATGCTGAATTTATTTGATCTGCCACTTTGCAAAAAACTACAAGGTAACACATAAAACAGTATTTAAAAGCAATTTCATTATTTTCCAAACGTAATAACTAAAAAAATCTATTTTTATTTGTCATTGCAGCTTTGTATATCACAATGTAATTGATCAGGAATCCACAGTGGAGGTCCCAGGGGATTCTAACTAGGGAACATGTAGTGCTCCAAGGGCATGAGTCCCCTGATGAATACACTAGACCAGAGGGAGGAGTAAATGCAGGATTACATTTTAACAATTTTACCTTCTCATGTTAGTGATTAGTGAAGTAAGTGTGGCGAGTATTACTAAAACTACACACTGAGATCTACAAAAAAACAACCAACAGTTTTGATTCCAGCATATGCAATAAAAGTGAGAAATAGTACAGCCCAAAATGATGAAACAAATCAAAGTTGCTGTTCTTTGTTCAGTCTACCTGTCATCTGTCTAAATCTTGCTCTCCATCTCTTTTGTCATGTTATATAGAATATAGTTTTCTTTAGGTTTTGTTTTCATTACAACTGGAAACCTCTTAGGTGTGGTGTTTTCAATGGTTAGAAAAACTGAAGCAGGGAACTGATTAATTCTTTAAACAGTCAATCTATGTATTAGAATAGTCTCAGTAAATTAGCAACGACTAAAAAGTAAGGGCTCATCTTATAAGAAAAGTTTGAATGGTTTTGCCCTATAAAACAGTGGTTGCCTTAAAAGGTGAAAGTATTTAAACAAATGAATTGATTTGTTTAAACGAAAAGATTATATTAGATCTGTATATCTAAAAAATAATAATGTTTGCCATTTTTTATAACTGTCAAAAATCTTACAGTTAACATTACATTTTCAGCATTTTTTTCAACCAAATTAAAACACGTGTACAAAGTAATGTTTAAATCCATCAGGCAATTTGAATGAATAATTGATCAAAATAGTTCTCTTTCAAGACATTTTCTCTGCTTACTGCTTTTCAGTGCAGTTACAGCATTCTTTCATCTGCTAGTCATTTACAAACAAAGCTGCACAAGGTACCTGTTCATAGAGAGGTCTATATTTTCCAAATTGGGACACTCCCAGAAGGTGTTGGGTGTAACAGTCTCGATGAGATTGGCTTGCAGGTAGAGATACTGCAGCTTGCCCAGGCCCCGCAGCATCCCCTCTGTCAGGTTTCGCAATTTGTTAAAGCCCATCTGGAGAACCTGGTGAGACAAAGACAAGTGGGATTATCCTAATCTCTGAAGTGCCCGACAGCGCCAGGCGTTGCTCGCGACAAGCTGCAAACATACAGAACAAACAGCTGACAGTTCAGAACAGCTACTTTTTCACATTGTGATCTAAGCCTCTGTGCTGCACTGAAATTTAACAAGATCTGTCCTGTTTGCTTTTTCGCTTCTGGCATTGCTCCAGCATTTTGGGTAGGTGTGAAAGCTTGAAGACTCATTATTGTTCCACTTAGTGAAACAAAGGATATTTAGAAAAGGCATAAATGAAGTTCTTGTTTTTATCTTGATTTCACTGTTTCCCAAAATGTAGTCCAATCAGAAAGGGTTTTCATCTTTTACTTTAATGAATATAAGGCCAACACACACAAAAACTGTGTCCTGTCCTTAATTCATACATGCTCATTCTGTTAAAATACTATTTCAAGTATGATTTTATTAATGTATTTATGTTCTAGATTGAAATGTATTTCAGTCTAGATCTGTCTTCTTTTAAGGGTATAAATTTATAAATAAATCATAAAGGAAGTATGCCCTGAAACTTGACAACATGGTGTTATCTGCACTGCTTTACTCCTGGGATGTTGTCTTTCTATCCAACAGGGCCATGCTGGTGAGGAGTAGAAAATCCATATGTGCCCCAATGATAATCATTACTGTCAACATGCAATGCATTTCCCCCACAACTACTTTAAAATCACAACATTCCCAGTGCTATGCAAACATACACTGCATTCTGCATTGCTATGTATTTTCTTAATATTGAATACATTTCTATGTACATATTTTCTTCTGAGGATCTTTCATATTTTCTAGAAGTATTTCTAAATATAATACAAGAACCTGCTTGCTAAACTAAGTCTATGTGTCATGATCGGTACACGAATGTGACCCAATTATGCAGAACACCACGAGGCAGGAAACAGTTGAAAAGTTCACAGAGTTTATTGAATACAATTTCAGAGGTAATGTGTTCAGGTTCTGGTCCAGGGAAAAAACGGGTTCACCGGAGTCTGTGAGGAAGACAGTTTAGTTAGTTGGGTTCTTAGAGGACTGTCCTTAGATAGTTTCTGGTTTGTACCTTGAGGGTCCTTGAATAGCACTTGGAGAGGAAGGTTGTTGGAACTGGAGAGAGTCTGGTTAGCAGAGTCCGTTAGCTGCTTCAGCGTCTTGCTTCTAGGAAGGTAGCAGACCTTGACTTTGGGTTTCCAGCTCTTGGTCCAGAGCTGCATGTGAATCCAGAGGTAATCTTCAGGTTTGGCTCAGAGGGCAGGCTCGGCAGGTTAAGCTCTTCCAGAGCTTCGCAAGGGAAGATCAGGTTTTCCTGGAAAGACAGAGACAAGATTAGGATCCTGTCAGGATTCAGAGCAAACTAAGTTCTCAGAGGTTCTAGGTTTAGGTTCTAACCAACTGGCTCAACACTGCGGCGTTGAGGCAAGGTCTGAAGACAGCTTAAGTAGTGGGTCCTCCTGATGATGGTAACGAGCAGCAGCTGTGCAGAGGGCTCTGCTCAGGAGGATCCACGGCGGACTCTGCTGGAGAAGAGAGGTACTTCTCCAGCTTCCAACACTATGCAACATTTCGTTATGATTTCATACTGACAAAAAGTCTTTGAAATGTTATAAAGTTTAAGTCAGGCCGGTTTTTTGGTTGGTCAAGCACAATGATACCATGGTGTTAATGTAGGTAGTGATACTTTCATTGGTGCTGACTAAAGCTAGGATGAATGAATGAGGAGTTTTTATCTCGGTAAAAACAACTCATATAATCATGTCATGGTTGTAACATCCACTTTAATCAGCAGTTGTTGTTTGCAAAATTGTAAAACAAATAAATAAATAGACTAGGTCGGTTTTAAGCTGTTTATGTTTTTTTTTTTAAATGCCAAGAGAATATTTTTCCAACTTCTGTCACTTAAGCCTGACAGAAATAAAAGTCAGTCCCCAAACACAGCTTTCCAACAGGTAGTGTGTATTTATAATTTTTCAATGGTGATATAAGAGAATGGAAACTGGCTGATAGCAGGGGATAAAAATTTCTGAAAATTGGATTTACCAGAAAGTCTACACTCTCATCTTCACCCTCAGGGCTAAGCCCCTGATCTCCTGGAATCCTAGATCCTTCCCTGGTCTAGGATACAGACTTTTAAATGGAATATAAAATTCATTTTTATTGGAAAATAGTTTCCACTGGCAAAAGGTACGGGGTGAAAAAAGTCAAAGAATAAAGCCTTGTCATCAGGACAAGATGAGGTAGAGTTACCAATCTTCACACAAAAAAAGTATTTTAGAGACGTAGGACTTTACACTGAAAAGCCTATGCTCTGGTTTTCATCCGTTGCTCTAGCCGTGAGATCCAAGAGCACCATTAGCAAATCGTTTGCTAAAGAAATGTCATTAAAACACTTAGAGATGATTGTGTGATGTAAATCAACCTTGTTGGGTGTGCCTTAAAACCAATTTTCAAGCAATATTCCTGTAAAAAAAATGTTTGCTTTAGCAGCCATTACTGGTGTTTGATAACAGTGCACAGGTCCTTTTATACCGTTGTTTAAACCTACTGTTCCCTGTGAATAATAAGCGTTTAACAATTGTTCAACAATTACCTTGTGCAAAGTTGATTATGGCCAGATACTCTATGAAACCCCTTAGAATATAAGCCACTTTCAACTACATCTACTTAAGGTTTCTGGCTAGATAAAAATGTCTGCCTCAATGATGTGTTCAGAAACAAGCTCGAGAACTCTCAAAGAGAAACAAAATGTGCCATTTTTGGAAAAAGAACAAAATTCTCTGTTCTAGCAGAGTATGGACAGACCCTCCTTGTGGAGGGAGGGAATTGACAGGTCAGCAGTCTCCCGAATGACTGAGTCAGCCATAACCTGATTATAACATCGCTACATTAAAAGTAATTAATTGTGTCTTTTTAACTCTGAAAATTGTCAAAGTAAACTAATCGTTGGAATTCAACAACAAGTTATAATAGAACAAGTTAAAATAAACGCATGAATCTACATCATTTTATTACTTGTTTAACCTGATATCTGAAATAAATTAATTTTTAAAATTATGTAATTTTTGACAGAAATCTAGTGTATATGTAGGTTTCTTTATGCTGTTGTGTACATGTAGTTGGCAGAGGGTAGTAATTAGTTACATTTACTCAGTTACATTTACGTGTACTTTTAGGAGTAGTTTTACAGGATTGTCCGTAAAAATATGATAAAGTATCACTACCCTTACTTGAGTAAACATTCTAGCAACTCCATCCATTGTAACTTCACTTAATAAACACAAGCTTGTTTTAAACAAAAATGCACCATTGAGATACACATTTTCTTTTTTTTGTACTCAAGGCTTATTAGTTATTTTCCTACTGCTGAGGTCGAGTGATAACTCAGTACACAGTATACTATAATTTCAAATACTCTAACATACTGTAACTATTTATTTTGTAAGATGATTTTGATTTTTATAACTCAAAAATATTAAATCTGCTGTTATGATCATGGGTAGTAACGAGATAAGTTATTCATTACTTGATTAACTTTTTTACTAAATATTGTTTTACTCTTGCTTGAGTCATATTTTAGGTTACGTTTAACTATTACTTCCGTGATAGTATTATGAAGCACTACTTTTACTTAAAGGAATAGTACACCCAAAACATGATTAGCCTTCATTTTCTACTCACCCCCATGCTGAACAACACTCTGGAGTACTTTTTTGATATCTCAAATGCATCTGGAGATCTGGGAGGCTTCTTGCTGTCTGCTGACATTCAAATAATGGAGGTCTATGGTGACCGAGACAGAAAGGTCCATAAAAGTCCACAAAAAACGTGTCAATATTCCTCCATACTGCTCGTCCAATGTATTCCAAGTGTCCTGAGTGGGTAGCATCCAGAATTTACTCGAAACGAAGTCATTTAGAATGTTTTTAGAGCATAAACAGTAGTGTAGAGGATTTCCTGAAAGCGCGCACATGCGCGTTCACGACGCTACGGAAGCCGGCAGACCAAACCAGATGAAAGTGCGCATTCAGCGTCTGCTCTGCCAATAATGCAAGCGTAGAAGAAGAAATGTGCTGTTTACCTGTGCAAAGAAAGGACCAACAAAAGAAAAATGTCTGAGGACTTCAGTGTTGAGGAAGAGCATGAGTTCTTTGCCGAGCTGAATGCGCTGGTTTGGTCTGCCAGCTTCCGTAGCGTCGTGATCGCGCATGTGCGGGCTTTCAGGAAATCCTATACACTACTGTAGAAAATGAAGGCTAATCATGTTTTGGGTGTACTATTCCTTTAAGACTACAATTTGTGGAGCCGGTGAAAATATTCCTCATAAAAACAGCATGTTCTTTGTGGAACTATGCCATCCTTTTTTTCATCAATCCCTTTTTGGAAAATTCAGGATCATTACCTTTGGTCTTCAGCAAGCCATGTGGACATTTCAGGTTTCACAATTTTTTCTCAGAATTCTTAGTTTTATTTTTGACCTGTAGTTAAAGTGAACATTGGCAGAATAGAAACTTAATGATTTGTAAAATGGCTGTATAAGTGTTTCTGGGCATGGGCAGCATTTTGTATGGCTGATTCAAACATTGTCACCAGAATGTTTTATGTCCCAGTCACAATTCCAGCCTGCTGCCGATAAAATAAATTGGTTTCATTGGGTGGGAGGAACGGCTGTGTAGTTGGCTCACTTTATAGAAAATCACCATCTGGTTATTTTTTCTGAGTGGAATTTGAATGTTCTTCCATTGCCCACCCTGGTTTCCTCACAATAATTAAACTTTTTGATTTAAAGTCATTTACATATATCAGAAAAACTGTACATGCTTAGTTGGTTTTTGTCTGTGTTGTACCTGTGTTAAATTGGATCATGTCTCTATAGTTTTTATGTCGGTATTACTGACTATATAGAAAGAAAATATTAGTAGTAGTTTGGTGTAAGAACCCGCAAAGTCATACTCCAGAGAGCCTTCAAGCTTCATGCAGGAAAAAAAAACACGTCATGGGGATTCAAACTAAAAACCAAATACATATGTATGTTTATAGCTGTAGGTAGGAGGGATCTAGTGTTATGCGCCAGGTCTAGAGAAACCTTTGATCTAGACATGTGTTCGAACATTCGCCCTAATATAGAGCAATATATAGGGCTTACAACATTTTATGAGTGTCTGAATGTCTGGTGGATGAAAAAAGTAGTGAACTCAATGTTTCCCACAATGCACCTTGAAAAGTAGTGATCAACCATGGTCAGTAGACGAGCAGATATATTCCAGACTGCTTTGCAAGAGCTCTTCTTGCAAAGCATTATGGGATTTGTTTCGGGGGCGAAAAAGAACAAAGATGGTACAGGCACTGTGTGGGGTTACCAGAGTCATGTGAGAGTGAAAAATAGTGATCGTCTGTCTGAATGGTTAGTTAACTGAGTTTACTATCAAGTTCACTATATAGTCCCTGCTCTATAGTCATTAGCTACCGATCCGATCCAAACTTTGGTTGATCAGAAATTCAAAATCTCCGTTTACATGGACACTAAATGAAATGATCCGATCATGACGTGTGTATACATGTACCAAGCGTTGGATCAGATTAAACCTTTTAAGCATGCGCAGAACTTCCTGCCAAACTTGGCAGTTCTGTCTGCGTCTGGTTTTTGGGAGGCCTGACAAACGATGCGCTCGGAGTGAGCGGAAAGAAAAACGGAGAGAGGAGGAAAAAAGCGCTTGGCAGCGAAATGTCCGAGAGAAAATGTAGAGAATGAGCGATTGAACCGGCGTGAGAGAGCGAGTGGGCTGTGGAGAGAGAAAAGAGGAAGAGGAGGAGGATAAATTCCTGCTTCCTGCAGCTTTAAATGAACTTGAATGTATAAGTCGGCGTTCCTAGACTCCTCCCGCCATGTTGTTCACAACAAGAGCGAGAGCGACCGGTGGTTTCCTGTTGTTGACAAGGCGGAAAAACGTCACGCTGACGTCGCACACATGCGCAGTGAAGATTATTTTACTCTTAAGATCCGAATGGGTGTTTACATGGACGCCAATCAGAATGGCGATCGGCAGAAACCACCTCTCTCTTTCGGAATTAAATTTATTTCCGATCGGACCGAATCGGATTAGAATCTTCAGTCTGACATGTTTACATGAAACATTTTTGATCTGATCAGGCCTTCAATCCGATTAGTTGTGTCCATGTAAACGTAGCTAATGAGGGGTTTAGGGTGAATGTCAATACGCAGCCACAGTTTGTGATTAACCATATTCTGAAGATGAGTCTCACTGTTATTCATAAGGTTCATTTTATGAAGAATTCTTCTTTGTGAAATAATCTCCATAGGTTTGAGAGAGGTTCCCGGGATAGAAACATATTGCTTTATTAGCTTATTGAGCTTTTTTAAGTCATTTGCTCTGATGCTGTTACCCCAGCATATGATGGCAGAAGAGATCCCACTATCCACAACAGACTTATAGACAATATGTAGCATTTTGCTGCAAACACAGAAGGACCTAAGTTTCCTAAAGACGTGCCGTCTCAGACATAAGCACTGCATCTCCAATCAAGCCTGTTCATCAGGTGAACACCAAGGTATTTCTACTCCTCCACCACCTCCACTTCTTCTTCTCTAATAATTGCATTTAACTTTTTCCTGTTTCCTCTGAAACCTACAATCAGCTCCCTTCTTTTGTTCACATTCAGGATAAGATTATTGTTTCCACACCACAAATTGCAGTTCCCTGTAATGAGCTTCTTCTCCATTTCTGATACAACTATCAACAGAGTCATCCAAGTATTTCCACAGATGACAGGACACTGTCTTGTTCTGGGATTCAGAGTTGTACAGAGTACATAGGAATGGTGAAAGTACTGTCCCCTGTGGTCTTTCTGTGCAGCTGATTACCTTATTAGACAGTTACCCTCTTCACTCTATAGGGGTCCTGACAGCTGCTGGTTGTTTGCTCATTTGGACAAAGGGAATCTCTCCAGGACCTTCATGATGTGGGATATCAGGGCAACAGGTCTATATTCACTAAGGACTGTTGGCCAAGTTTTCTTTGGCCCTAAAACAATGCAGGAGGTCTTCCTCAACACTGGAACTGTCTCCTGGGTCAGACTAAGGTTGAAGAGGTGCTGTGGAATCCCATATCGCTGCTCTGCACAGCCCATCAGGACTCTGGAGCTGACACCATCAGGACCTGGTGACTTCTTACAATTCAGTCTCTCCAGATGCCTCCCTCTCATGGAAAATGGGCAAGATAAAACATTAAAGGTGTCACGAGAAGGGTCAAAGGAAGGTGGCATGTCTGACTGTGGGGAGAAACGAAGGATGCTGAGCTTCTTCCTAAACTGAACCTATGGAATAATGCATTCAGTTCATTGGCTCTATCCTGACTTCCACCTGCTTGATCCTCTTTTTGCTTGAAGTCTCTGATCTTCATCCCTAACCACTCTGTTGCTGTTCTGATGCATCTGGAGAACTAATGCTCTCCAGTTTCCTCCCATATACCTCCTTGCTTACTCTTACTTGATTTTGAGTAACTAATGAGCCCTTTATTTGTCTACAGTCCAGGTCTCTGGAATGAACACCTGTGTTTGAAGGTCAGCAGGAAAATGATAAAAGGTCGGCTGAAGACACGTCGTATTTTTCATTCTGTGAAATGTCTTTCATACAGTTAAGTATGCTTCTTTTCTCCTGATTTTTCAACATACTTTGAGTAGATATTATAAGGGGAGAATGTTTAAAAATAAAGTTTGATTTGATAAGTTAAGTCAGGTTTTAACCAATCATTACTTTTGTATTATTTGGCTACTAATGATAATTGTCATTAGTCAAACATGAATTTTAATGAGGTTAAAAAAGTATAGCGATGATTATGGAAGCAGGTAATCAAACTAATCTGTTTACCAATTTTTTGCACAACTGAATCTCACATACACACTTTAATCAACTTTGCCATCATTTGAGTGTTATTTGCTCAATGAACAGGAAATTGACAATTTAATGTATTTCTCTCTTGATAAGTTTTTAAATATATTTTACTTATTGTTTTAATCCTGAGCACAATGAAAATAATCACTCTATATTTGTTTTTAAATCATATTTCATGTGGACATAAAAAAGGTAAAAATTTAAAAAAATGTTTGAATATATCCTGTAACTTGTAGATATGCGCTCCATCCAATCTAATTGAACCTAAGCTTTTTAACAGAAAGAAAACATTTAGAACTCTACATCATAGTGAGGACATATATGTAAGCACTGCACATGTAGAATATAGGTTAATAATAGGTTATGGAATGTGATGCATTGTAATTATGTACACTGCTGTGCTGCACATACAGACGTGTCCATTTATTGAATATCTGTGCCCACCTGCAGGTTAAATTGCGCTGAGAATGCTCCATCTTCCACATAGCTGATATCGTTCTTGGTGAGGTTCAAATAGGTGAGGTTTCCAAAGCGACTGAGCGAGGAATAATGCACTGACCGTATCTTGTTCTCATTCAGCCTCAGATCCACAATTGTGCTGTAAATAGATGTGAAGTTATTCAGCAAAAGTAACAATTAAAATGAGAAATAAGCTTTCCTCTATTAGTGTTATCTTACCTGTTAATTTGGGAGGGAATGGCTTCATAGGGAGGCTGGTTCATACTGCAGATGGCCAGCCACACAAAGCCTTTCTCCCCTTCGATAAGCCAGCAGTCAGCTGTTACAGCCGGTAGTCGGAGCAGTGACAGCAGAGCAAGCCAGCAGAGGAAGGAGCTGGCTGTGGATAAGATCCCGGATGAAGAACCACCAGCCTTGTTATTTCTCAGCTGTCTTGATGTCTGGGCCATTTGGGATGTCATTACAATATCTGACGGTGAAATCCAACCAAAGATCCCTGCCATTTAACATTTATTCCTGTAGGCCACAGCCATTGAAAAGAGGATTCTTTTTATTTCCACTAGAAATAATCTCTGTATCGAAAGTGATGTTTTATGTTATCTCTGTTTCCTATATGCTTGTATTTCTTGCTTTCTCCTTTTTCTCGGTTTTATTGAAGGGATAATTAGAATACTGGAGTAGAAATGAGTGTAACAATTGGAGTTGGCACTTTACTGGCAGGTTGTGTGTCTAAGTAAGCAGCATCTATCCCTATATAAAGTTCACAATAATTATTTCCAATATAAATTGGCAAGTTGAATTTGTCCTGCTGCCAGACTGATTTTCGTGTCCTCTGTGGCCATCTCTGATTCGATGGGTGTCTCTTCTCATTCTCCCTTAGCACTTGATGGACTTCCCTTGGTTTGAGAACTTGTCCCTAGTGAGAAAACACAAAGGCAAAAGAGATAAGGGTGTTAGGCAAGGATCTCTAATTAAACATAGGCGTTTGTTTGTGAGACACAATGATCTCAGCCCCATTACTGAGACGCTTAGAGAGAAGGGAGAATATTCCCTCTTGGCTGACTTAAAGAGATGCAGCAGACACACTCAGTGGTCAGTTTCTAAACTCCAAATACATCATGAAATGAATACAAATCACACCTGCATGTTTTTAAAGGGTATTCCTGCTGTAAATTCACACATTCTATACTGCTGCTCCACCATTAGCCTCAGGGCATTTGGTTGGCCCTACTAAGAATTGCAGAGTTCAAGATACTGTTTCTAATGAATTTCTATGCTCCAAATAAAACACTTCCTGGGAATTAAAATGAAAAAAAAAAATCTGATGTATGATGGATCAAGAGGCTGAGGGGGCTCGCAGCAGATCTCCCAGTAAAAATGTGTGTGAAGGGAAGAGATGAATGCAACAAACAGTGAAATGAAAGGAGAGATGGTGACGGTTAGAGAGAAAGAGATGTGGCAAGCTGGTTTGATAAGCAAAATTCTGGACAGAGATTGGAATGAACTGCTTTTTGTGTTTGAGGAATTACTTTGAAAAGAAGCAAATCCAAGAAGTAACCAACATCATGGAGTTGAAATAGTTTGAGAATGAGTGAAGGGTTTAGCTTCCCCATAAATGCTTCTTTTGGATTTTTATCTTCTGCAGAATACAGATGAGTTGAAAAGCAGGGAGGTTCTGATGTGCCAACATAGATCAGAGACTACATGGCAGAAGGGGAGCATACATTTGTTTTAAATTTAATCCCTCTAGGTAGATATATCACTTTGATATTAAAGTTAAGTATGAAGTATGTGCAGATTCTGCAGATGATTTCCACCAATAAGATCCTGTTTCCTGGAATGTATTTTACATATTACAAACAGTTTTTTTTTTTAGTTTTTTTTTACTAAACTAAAAACAGACGATGTGTACTGTAAATTAATTAATCTCATAGGAGTACGGTTAGGACACTCTACATGTTTCTATAGTAAAGCTGTTAGTTTTTTTTTTTCCTTTATCTGTATTGTTCTGCGCATAAGCCGGTGGGTGCATCACATCTGCAGTGTTCCAACCTGGTTATTAGTATTAAGCACAATATAAACTGAAATGCAAAATGTGCTGTTGCATACCTTTTTAAAATTGGTTTATGATATATGTTAACCTTTTATCTTTTAATACCAACTAAATTAATTAAATCTTATATGTTTTGCTTTCAGCCTCACTAATATCACAAATGAAAAATGGCATATGTGTTTGTGAGATTATGTTAACTTGGAAGAGCTCTCCCACCCGGTCAGCTAACTCTATAATTGATGGTGAGACTTCCTCTCAAACAGCATCAGACAAACTCTGTGCCCAGCCAACCAGGCGAAGGGTACGAACTGCTGCCAGCATATTACACACAACAGGCGGATTCACTGTGGCACAGGAAACGGTCTTTCTGCTGACCAAGGGTTAAGCTTAGGTAAACAACCGTAGAGAATGTCATGGGGTGCAGGAAGGATGCAGAGATAAAGAGAACACCCAGCAGTCACTGTAGAATGAGATGCAAGGAAGGCTGATTCCTGTGTGACCCCTCTTTGCAACGAGGCAAGTAATGTCAACTGAAAGAAGAGATGAAGGAGCAGGCAGTACAGGCCAACTGAGGGAGATATGTTTGCACTTGCCCCCATTTTAGCATTTTTGCAGTTAATACACATGTAACAGCTAACATGATACACACAGAAGGAACTGTTAGAAAGCTGTCGTCCTCTTTTCCATTTTGCATCATTCATTGGGCTGCCTGCTACGCTCCAGCTCACAGTGCTTACTTGGTCCGTCTCAGCTGTGGAGAGCTGCCCTGTGGAATATTTCAGCACTCGGCATCATGACCGCTTTACCTCCCTGTCATGTCATGCTAAAAAATTTATAAAGGTACAAACTGTCATAGGAGAAGAGACTCTATGTGACTTAAGCTTACTATACAGGTAAGGAATATTGCTATGATGTCATGTAGAATTGGCAGAATATTATATTTGTTTTAGTAATAGTCACAACAACAGTGTGCTACATTTCATGTGGCATGATTTAGATGATCAAGTCACTACCTTGCTATGCTTATTTACCTAAAAATAATAATAACTTTTGCAACAACAAATAGACACATTTAAAAAAAAAAACAAGTGGATTAATTAATGAAAAAACATTCATTGAAATTTGATCATTTTTCATAATTATTTGTTGACATCCTAATAATGTCCCCCTTTCAAACGCAGCAGAACATCGAGAATTTCTCCCCATTATATTTACGCATTATATTTAGAACAAAAAAGAGGCTGAAAAAATACTATTTCAAAACTAAATATTTATTAAAAGTGCCCATGATTCAGAGGTGTTTAAATAATTATGTGATCAAGTCAGCATTTTCAAGGATGAATCAAAGATTCCTTAAATAACACTACTATTTTGGCACCAGGTATAATAAGAGATGTTTGGCTAACAGAGATTCATTAAATTTTGTAAGCTGTCTTGATGTTTATATATTGAAATTTATATTAGTGGCCAAACCAATACAATAAGTATAACAAATTACACAAAAATGTGTGGTTTCATGTTTTTGTGTACAAAATAACACCCAAACACATACTATTACTTCACCACATTGCCCCTTTCCTTTCTTCTGTGTGACTGATGAGAAGCATTTAGAGATGGGTTTCCTCCTGGGCAGGTTATGACTGAGGCAGAAATATGAGCACATTAATAAGAGACACACACTCATAAATACACACAGCCACACGGCTATTCACATAAACACAGGCAAAGAGACGCATCCCGCAGCTCTTCATTTCAGTGTGTAGTGGGGCGTCACACACTCAAGCAAGTACTCTCATTACTATTCAGAAGCAATGTGCAAAGCAGCAGCACCAATGTAGCTAAAAGTCATCAAGAGAAAAATGATGGAGGTGAGGGGAGAAGACAGATGGCTAAGTAGAGTGCCTGTGTGGGTTTGGACTCAAACAACATCCGTAGTGGTTTTGCAAGGAGGAAGCTTCATTTGTAAGGACAACTTTTTTAAGGTGATGAAGTTATATGTCTAACTCTATTTGATGCTACTCACCAGAGCACAGCCTTTTTTTTTTCTACAAAGGTTTTTACTCAAAGGTGACCTGTGGTTTTCCACATGATGATGAGAGGCCAGAAATCTGAACTGTTGGCCTTCAGATTATTGGCAGCCTTTCTTGTTCTCCACAGAAATTTTCGATGATGCACAAGCGCACCACTGTTTTAGATCGCCAGAAGCCAAAATCCAACCTACCTTGAATCCCTTTGGTAGCTCAGTGGCTATTTTGTCAGAAAATCAATTAAGTCCAGATTCTCATTTTATCCCAAAAAAGGTTTCAGTAATGAATCGTCATAACTACTTAATAAAAGAAACAGGATCACAATAAGAATTTATTTGTATCAGTTATATTTTAGAGCAGAGTTAGCAATATTTCTGGAAGTTGGGTTCCTCATTCAGCAGATATAGTTAAACATTATCAGTATGACAGTCAAAGGCAAACTCAAAGTCACATGTGACCTGATCCTGTGGTACCACATGTGGTGAATAGAATAAAATAGAATAGAATTGAAAAAGAACAGAATACAGAGTGGGGGAAAAAGTTAGAAGATGAAGAAAACGTATACAAATACGCATAGAAAACATTTTTCACACATAAAAATCTCAAAGTGCTTCAGAAAAAAAGAAATGATAAAAAAAAATGATGAAAGAAACTCATTAATGCAATACTGTGTAACTGTTTAGCCACTTGGAGAGCTAATACTGTAACCTCCAGGTTAACATCCCTAAAGCACTGTTACTGCTGCACTGTTGGAAAATTAAACAGCTTCCGTAATTTCTGTACTCTGTAATCTGAAAGCAGAACACTGTGCTTTTGCTTCTGCCCTTTCTGTCTTTAAGTTTGTGTCCTGTATCTTTCTTCACAGCATGAAAAACACCTGTGTTTATATCCCAGATATCAAAAAGCAAGAGGCACTTCCAAGTAAAGGGTGATTGAGTGTTTGTGACAAGGAGACACCATAAAGAGCACAACAAACAATAAAGGAAATGGAACAGGAACAAAGACATGTTGCGATTTGACAGGCAAAACCATCTTCATCTGCTTTATCATTTCAGACTGATGTATTGTAGTTTCTAGAGCTGTTTAACCATCTTAAACAGTAAGCAAAGAGTCATTTAAGACATTTGACTGCCTATACAAGCTTAACCTTTCAGCCGGTTCATATTTTATTCAAGCAGCGGTCAAGTAGAGAAGCACTGGGTCGTTCTTAATTCTCAGGCTGATGGTGTCCCAGATGGCTTTTTTAGTATCTCTGGTTAAATGGCATATAAATGTAAAACAAGACATTTCTGCAATTTTAAAGGGGAATAAAAGAGGTTCTCTTTCAGTGGTTTATGTGTTTTTGTTGCACTCAAAAAAGTTACAAAACCACAGACTACAGTTAATGTTTTTCTTCACAGAACATTCTTTTCTAAGCTGCTTGAAACACCTTGTTTGAAGTCCAAGCTTTCTCTCCGTCACCATGAAGGACATTTGCATAATGTCTTCTTAGTGGCTGGTAGGACACATTTGAAACAAAGAAGGAATTCAGCAGTTTTTTCCCCCTCATCAAACAGCAATGCAGTCTGAACACAACGGTCCTCTCAGGAGGGCATCTAGAGATGAACTATAATGGATCGTTTCAACCAGAGATGACCGCAGTTTCTCAGCTCTGGCTGCAAACAATAGGGTCTGTTTTATCTGAAACAACAACATATTTACAATGCTCTGTAGGCATATAAACTAGCACACATTTACCTCTGACTTTATTCAATTACAGTGTTTCCAAAACTGTTTGTTTTAAAACAGTTTTACTTAGAGATGTTTTAGGGTTTACTCTCTACATTTCTATTTCTG